GTAGTAGTAAGATGGGTTCGCATTCGAAATCGCATTCTTAATAATACGACTCGTGTGTTGCTTAGCCATAGTATGATTAGTAGCGTCAAAATGCATGCGTCGATTAGTAGTATTAAAGTATAAGCAATAATGTGCGTATTCTTCGCAGTAGCATCATTAGTAGCATTAGTAGTACTATCATCAGTGTTACGATGTAAGTATGAGAAGTCGTAATCGAGTTCATCTCTGTATTATTAGCAATAGTACTGTTATTAGTGTTACTATGCGTCGTCGTTGAATACCTCGTCTTAGTTTTAGTAGTTGGACAGTGAGGGATGGTCCAAGAGAAAACTCCCACAAGAAACCCAACCCTGAGACCCCAGGACGTCGGTTGATTTTTGGTGTGGGATCGTAGCCTCCCATCGCGAAACCATCGAAACCCAAGAAACCCAGGGACCTTGGAAGCGAGCAGTGTGTGTTGTGGTATGGGTCTCCACTGTAGTTTTCTTAGTATTCGTCTCATTAGTATTCGCGTTATTCTTCGTATTACCAATTGTCTTAGTATGATTGATATCAGTAGCATCATCTGCATTAGCACTCTGAAATTTACCATTCGTATTCTTAAATTGTTATTAGTGCTGATCGTGTCCGTAGTCGTATCATTCTGTGTTGTCGTATTACTCATCCTTCTCCTCCTCCTCCTCCTACCCCTCCTCATCCATCTCCTCCTCCTCATCCTCCAGCCCAGGAAGGACGGAGCGGCCTGTCGGTGGCACGCGTGGCGACCGAGACCGCCCGAACGGAGGAGGAGGAGGAGAAGAAGGAGGAGGAAGAGGAGGAAGAGGAGGAGGAGGAGAAGAGAAGGAGGAGGAGGAGGAGGAGGAGGAGGAGGGGGAGGAGGAGCAGCAACAACACGAGGAGCATCGTGCTGGGGCGCCAGAGCGCGGTGCCTATCTCGGGCACGACGCCGAGCATCAGCACGCACAGCACGAAGAAGGAGCCTTGGGCGACGCGCGCTGGCCAGGCGGGGCCGGCGTCGGCCTTGTTCCGACCACCCCGTGCCTCATGCTCACCGCCACAAGTACGCGCGTTGTCTGTTGTTTCTCTCTCTGTTATGTTATGTTATGTTCTGTTCTGTTCCGCTGCTATGAAGACCCCAGTGAGGGGAAAAGCTCCGGACGCCACTCGGCCGACTATACACTGCTCTGCACAACTTTCGAAAACATGTGACCGAGGCTCAGCGCAATGCGTGACAGCAGCAGCAGCGGCAGGGAGAGGAAGCAGACGGCGAAGAGAGACGGAGAAAGGAACAAGTAAAACGAGCAAGAGAACAGCACGGAGGCGGCAGAAGAGCGAACGAGCCAGGAGCACGTTGTTTCTCTTTCTCTCTCTCTCTCTCTCTCTATCTATCTCTCCCACTCTCTCTCTCTCTCTCTCTCTCTCTCTCTCCGTCACCTCTTCCTATATGTGCGTATAAATAGATACGTACACATGCACGCATATAGATACACAAACGTATACGTATGTGTAATTAACATGTGTGCATATGCATGTGCCGATGGACCTATATATGTATATGTACACATCTACAGATGTACATGAGTTTCTGCATAGGTTCATACACCTAGATATGCATCGCTCTCCCTTGTGTTTCTATAGATATATACATAGACATGCGTCGATGTATCTCTCTGTATCTCTGTCTCGCACACTCTCTCTCTCTCTCTTGTTCTCTCTCTCTCTCTCTCTCTCCCTCTCTCTCATTATATATGTGTATTTAAATATGGATACATCTATATATGTATAGCCCGTACGCATTGCGCTCCTCGCATTATACCGCGCCTGCTTCCCGCATTGTGGCATACCCGCCTTAGCGACGAGACAGAGGGGGCGAAGAAAGCAAGTGGCGTCTTGAAGGGGTGGGCCCCTGGAAAGCCAGCCAATCTGCACCGCCAAGCAGCGCCCACACGTCCCCAGCTGCTGTAGAGCTGCCTGGGTCCCTGGCAGCTGGATACAAGGTATCCCCCACGTCTGGGCGCCACGACAACAACAGACAACGTGTGCCGCGACAACGTGTGCCGCACCACACGTGTGCCGCCCCTCCTCACTCTCTCTCTCTCTCTATGTCCGCCTCCTCACTCTTCCACCTGCCCCCCCCTCCTCTTTGGACACCCAAAGTGGGTACATAACAAATGGGCACAATGCCCAACAACAAATGTTGTCCAAAACCGACTGCGGCCGCTGTTGGACAGCTGGTCATCTGTCTCAGATGGACAACGCCCGCGGCGACACCGACAGCGACCTCCTCTTCCTCCTTCTCATCCTGATTCTCCTCCTCTTCCTCCTCCTCCTCCTCGTCCTCCTCGTCCCGATCCTCCTCCCCATCCTCCTTCACGTCCTCCTCCTCCTCCTCTTACCCCCCGCTACTCCTCCCTCCCTCCCTCCCTCCTGGTCCACCCTCCCCGCTCACGCCCCCCCCAGGCGCGCCCCACAGCGCGTAGCCCAGCACGGGCGCCTGGCCCTTGCGGGTGCGGGCCGGGCCAGCACGAGGGAGGGGGGGAGGGCGGCGCTCGGTCGGCATCGAGGCGGGAAGTCGGACGCGGCAGGCTCGGCGACAACGGCACGCCTCCGCACTGCCCATCACGACGGGAGGCGCAGCCCCATGGAGGCCGCACACGAGCGGTCCCCGGGGAGCGGAGCGCTCTGGGGAGCCACGTCGTAGAACGACACGCCGTCGGATGCCTGCGTGCGGCATGGTCGCGTCGTGGCAGCATCGGCCATGGCTTCCGACGCACCTGCAACCTCGAGCGATTGAAGCTTACCGACAGCGCCGATCGTTTGACGTCGGCCGACTCTGGACCACTGGCGGCGTTCAGCCTTGAACGCCCGCGCTGGGGTCGCCGTCGCGTTGACACGACACGACCCTACCGTGCGTGAAGACATTCCCGCCTGGGCGCGGAGCTGGAGACCGCCCGGATGGGGTCAGAGCAGACGGGGGCTGGGGGATCGCACCCGAAGAGGCGATGCTCTGGCGGTGTGTGGGGTCACGCCGCATCTCCGATGCGGCGCGATCATCCGACCGTGTCTGCTGGGACCCCAGCTGGGCGCCCTGGAGGAGCCCAAGCAGAATCAGTCAGCCTCGAATCAGATCAAGCCAGCCATGCCACATGGGATCGGTCGGATCGAAACTGACCCTGGGAGGACGGCAAGGGAGAAGGCCAAGCTAGGTGCGCTGGCGCCACATCTGGCATCTTGCCCCTCCCATCTGTCTTTAATGTTGTTCCCGAAATGTTCCAATAGTCGATCGACTGGCCCATCCCATCCATCCCTTCCCACTGCGCTGTTTTTCTCTATCCGCCGACGCGTGTCATAGGCAACCTTGGAACTCTCAAAAAAATCTCATCGTGATGTGCGCAATCGGGAAAAGGGAGCTGCATACACAGGAGGAGGTGGCGGGTGAGCAGGAGGATGAGCAGGAGAAAAAGAGGAGGAAAGAGGACGACGAGGACGAACCGCAGCAGCCGGAGCTGGGAGGAGCGGGAGCAATCCGAGGACCAGGGGAAGGCGGAGGGGAAATGGGGGGGGCGACAAAGATGGAAACGGGATCCAGTGGCCCGCGCTGGGGCGAGCGCATCATTCTGAACGACAGGAGCAAAGCGTCGATCCGAAAACGAGGCCCATGCTGCAGCGGGAACACCGTTTTGAAACACCGACAGCACTAGGACTGCGTGCAACCGCAAGACAAATCACCCTCGCCCGGTCCTGTGGCGCAGAGGGCGAGACACCTTTCGGACCGAGTCAGCAGAGAGGAGAGAAGTATTAATTTCAAGCTTGGCTTGTGGATGCCATGACAATGGACACTCTATCAATCCTATCATTGAAACATGTTTTAGACATCTGGAAATGATTTGGCAGCATGCTTCTCCATTAATCGACTTCCACAAAACAAGGCACGCCCGCAACACACCGGACACCCTATCCCTCCCTCCCATCCGTTCCCATTGCGCTATTCTTGCTCCATCCGCCGACGCGTGTCATCGCCGAGCTGGAAGCTCCGAGAAAGATCCCATCGTGGAGTGCGCAATCGGGAAAAGGAAGCTGCATACACAGGAGGAGGTGGCGGGTGAGCAGGAGGATGAGCAGGAGGAAAAGGAGGACAAGGAAGGAGGAGGAAGACGAGGCCGAACAGCAGCAACAGGAACTGGAATGGAGGGAGTGGGAGGAGCAGGAGGACCAGGGGAAGCCCTGCTCCTCCACATCATCATCATTCTCCTCCTCATCATCAGCATCATCAGCATCGTCATCAACAGCAGCATCATCATCATCACCACCACCATCATCATCAGCAGCAGCATCGTCATCAACATCATCATCACCATCATCATCAGCATCATCAGCATCAGCAGCATCATCACCACCATCACCATCACCATCACCATCACCATCACCATCACCATCACCATCATCATCATCATCATCATCATCATCATCATCATCATCAGCATCAGCATCAGCATCAGCATCAGCATCAGCAGCATCAGCATCAGTATCATCATCCCCCTCTTCGATGATACTTGAGGCTCTGGACTGGGGTCGGGGCGGCCCATTTCAGCACGAGGGGGGCGACCACGATGAAAAATGGCACGGCTCAGAGAAGCGGCCCGCGCTGGGGCCGGAGCGCCAGTCTGAGCGGGAACAGAGCGCCGGCCCGGAAATGAAGGCCGCGCTGAAGCGGGAGCACCAGTTTGAAACGCTTAGAACAATCGGATTGGAAGAAGTCATGGGACAAACCACCGTTGCCCAATCCTGTGTAGAAAACAGTACGCGGAGAGGGCGGGACATCTTCGGGACAGAGTCAAGCGAGAGGGGAGAGTAGTATTCATCATGCGTGAATGCACGAGTAGTTTGTTCAATGATTGTATAGGGTATTCGATCTTCGAGAGCTGCTTCGGACACTCTGACAAGGAACAGAGGACAAGGAGAAGGCCGACGAGGGAGGCAGGACACTCAAGCACCCATGCTGTGGGCTGACAATGCGAAAGGGAAAGGAGAAGGGAGAGGGAGACGGAGCAGAAGCTTGGAAGCAACTCGTGAGAGGTCCTCGTAAGAACGGTAAAAGGCGAGTCAGCCCGATGAAGGGACCACTAAGCTGAAGCAGGCTGGAAGAAGCAGGGGATTCAGCCGGATAAGACAAGGCAAAGCGGGATGAAGCCACACTAAGCGACACTATACCGAATTAGGCCAGTTGTCGATCGCGCATATACCGGCGCCGATGCTGAATTAACGTCCCAGGAGCATCATCCTGACAGAAGGGGGGGCGTGGAGGATGGAGGACAACGAGAACCCTCTTCCTCCGACCAAAAAGTTGTTCCGGACGTGGATCTCGGCCGGGATGGGTTGTCCATCCCGAGTCGGTTGGTTGACGGCCTCCTGAAGCCGAAAACCTCCAACAACCGGCCGTCACAATCTTATCCGTGGCCGCCCAACCACACAGGGTCGGTGTAGGTTCAGCGTAGATGGGGTCGGAGAACCGCGCCGCATCCACCATGCACCAGCGACGTGTTGGCGACAACGGGATGGAGAAACTCGGGCCCGGGATCGCGCCGCATCGCTAATGCATTGGCGATGCGGCGTGATCCTCCGACCCCGCCCTCTCCGACCCCAGCTGGGCGGCCTGGATATTGTCTGCGTCGCCTGGATTCTGAGGGGAGGGCGGCGACCAGGACCAGGAGGATAGCGAGGGAGGACCTGCAGGAGGAGAGAAACGGGGGCGAGGAGGATCGGGAAAAGGAGCCTGAGAAGGCGAAAGGAGGAGGAAGATGAGGGAGGGAGGACTGGGCGAGAGGGAGGAGGATCAGGAGGGAGGGGGCGCAGGAGGGGGATTTGGCACACAGAACACCGAACAGGACGTTCGGCCTTTGGGCGAGAACCTGGGACTCCAGCGGCTGATCGGGACGGTTCGGTCACGCCTAGAATGCTCTCCCCGAGGCGCAGCTGCTGGAGAGCATAAATCCAAAGGCTGGAAGCCCTCCAGGAACCAACGAAGACGTCCGAAAACCTGTGCAGAGGCAGAGGCCAGGGCCCCGTGGAGCAAGCGGGGGCTCTGACTGACCCAGACGCCTGCGCGCCCGAAAAGGCCGCGGCCGTGGGCCCGGGACACCCTCCACTGCTCGCCTGCTCCGGCTGGATCTGGCGACGCCAGTCCCGGCGAACCCCTCAGCCCTGGAGAACTGCAGCTCCGAGCGACCCAGATCCGGAGGCTGAAAAAGAAACCTCCAGGAGCCGACGGAACAGAGAACAGAAATCGAGGGGGGGGCGGCGATCTCGATCACCTCCTCGGGGCTAACTTTTCATCCTGCGAGTCGAGGATCGACTACAGCATTGCTGCCCCAAATGATATTTCCCGTTGCATCCACGAACGAATGCGTAGAATGCTCCAAAGAACATTCTGCGTATGTTTCGAAAAAACGACGAACAGATCAATTGTGGGGCACATCAGTTCTGTAGTCGACCCCCACCCGAATCTTGAAGCGTTCTCTGTCGGCCCCGTGGCCGGCAGCGGCCTCCAGAGGCCGACGAGCACCCAAAAAATAAAAGAAACGACCGTCGCCACCTTGGCTGCGACGGCCAACTGGGAAAGCGAGTCTCAAGCAGTGGCTTCGCCTCCTCCTCCTCCTCCTCCTCCTCCTCCTCCTCCTCCTCCTCCTGCTCCTCCTCCTGCTCCCCCTCCCCCGACAGATGCCCGAGTGCACCCTCTGACATCAAACTGCCGTTTCTGGCGCGGCTGGTGAATTACGAACGACCGAACGGAGACCAGATCAGAGGTTCCAGAGCGGCCCCAGAGGTCCCAGCGGTCCTGACTTCTTCCCTGGAAGGAACTTTGCGTCCCGGATCCATGTGTGATGGCCTCGGAGCCCGAAAGCTGCCCCCGAGTGCAGGAATCATCGAAAAAGTCTGGCCCATCAGTTTGCTTCGAGCGCTCCCCACCCGAAATCGCGAAGCGGGATACCCAGGGAGCACCGCAAACACCGTGGGTCTGTCGGCCGCGGTGGGCAGTCGTCACTCGTCGCGGGCACGGGGCGGGATACCCAGGGAGCACTGGCACGCCTGGGGCCTGGCGGCCGCGGTATGCAGGGTGTGAGAGGCGGGTCGGGACTCTCTTCTCCAAATCCGCCACCGTGCCGCGGGGCGAGGAGCGGAGTTCGCTTTTGTCCCCAGGCTCTCGTGTCCTCTCTTCTCGGTGCTCAGGAGGACTCTGGGACCATAGTAGTCCGAGGGCTGGGGCCCCAAACTCTCAAAATTCATGGACGCTCCCGCGCGTTCTTGGGCTGACTCGCGTTACTTTTCCAGAGGCCAGAGGGCCCCAAAACGGGCCAAGAGAGCACCAAAAAGCGCCCAAGAGTGACCAAGAGGCCTCCAAGACAGCCCAAGAACGCTCCGAGACGCCCAAGATGGCCCCAAGACGGCCCAACAGGCCCCAAAGAAGCCCCAAGAGCGCTCCAAGAGGACCCCCTAGAGGGC